CTGTTTACCTCACTGAGTTACTACAGAAACCAGTTTAATTTTTAGTGCGGAACTTTGCACCTACTAGGTGTTGACGCACTTCCGTGACATAACAGAGTTCTGGGATTTGGCAGGCCATCGAATCATGTGAGTCTGACGCTGCTTGCGTGATGAACATCCGGGGCGCATTTTTTTTAGTCCTTCCACACGTAGAGAAATGACAAATGTCACGTTGAGGTGTAGGCAACTTGAAGATCTGCTTCATCATCACCATCACCTTCAGCATTGCTCAGTTCCATAAGCTATAATCTAGAGAATGCTGAGGTGCTGTAGAGCTAGAGATTTCTCGGGCAGACCTCGGATTATACCCATTCCAACCAAGTTAGCAAGCTAAAATTTGTAATACGCATTGTGTGTAATGTCGACAGCTCCGTACAAGTTAGTGGGGTGGAAACGAAAGACTTCGGTTCTGGCAGGGCTACGACGTAGGCATTCCACGAAAACCGTCACATGGGCTATCTCTGGGAGAGGTTAGTTCCTCATAGCACCTATAAGTGACCTCAAACTTGGGCATAGTCTGACAACTTTTGGTGCTCTGACAGGTGGATAAAACTGTGATCGCACGCGATATGCCTGATCAGCCGGCATAAAAGTGCAGATAAGCTGCAGTATAAAATGAAGCTTTCCCATGTGGGTAAGGCGTAATAGACGGCCGCGCTGCACGTAAGTGCCCACCCTCCTTGATCTGCCATCGAGCTAGTCAATCGCCAACGCTACCCGCTGAAACCAGTCTGTATCATGTTTGACCTATGGGCTATCTCCACCTCGCAGATCCCGAGGATACGATTTGTATCCTCCTTCCCCGAGTAGGGTTTATTGTCCAATTTGACAATACGAGGCTCATTCTCTTCGTCTGAAATAGAAACAAAGCGGTCCGACTCAGCTGACGCATTTCGGTCTTAGATCTGCACTAAAAAGGTCGTTTTGCACTGCTTTGAAGGCCTCGATACTCACGCTCAATGCATTCGGGCTGTGTGCGTTATAAATTTTACATATTCTACACCCAAAGACGTGGATTGATTGTCAAGAGAAACATTTTGGAGTTTAGTGAGTGGTGTGGAGTGTCACATCCTCACAATGGATCAGTCTTTACCGACTCAGGCGTGGATTGAGTGCAAGTGCTACCAAGTCTAGCAGAGATATGTCAGCTCCTAGCAAGAGGAAGCTATTTGCTTGACGAGCAAGACAGATCTTAACAAGAACGCATGTCTACGAGTCAAAGATCTTGAAGCTTCAGGTCCTTGAATAAGGGACCTAACGAGTCAGCGAATCGATTGCATAGGGTGCTGAGGAGTCTATGTCTTAACAAGACTTGACTCTTTTAAAACCTGAGACGCCTTAGTAAGGTACGTGCCTCAAAAGAGATCAAAAGGCGATGGAACTTTTTATAGTTTTTTTTACCTAAAAGGACACCTTAGACTAAACGTACCTAATCTAGACACTATTGCTCTTCTTATTACCTTCTAAAGATCTCGTATTTGGTGGCTGAAATACGTCAACCCCCAACAACTGATATGGTGTGCTTATATCAAATATAACAGGATCCCATTCTTGGTGTGAACCACACATGTTATGCCGGTTTAAACCGACATGTAGCCTCGTTACTATAGCTGCTTCTTTCTAGTGACGCGAAAGTGTCTTTTACAAGTTGCGTCAGGGGCATAAGTCGATTTGAGTGTCTATGTATAAGTCCGAAGGAAAACGTATATCAAATACGACGGCGTGCTGACAGTTCCGGAACGCAACGCTTTGACATTCACATCCACAGTCTTGTCGTGATTGAGAAATTAATCGCTTGATCTACAGTCATATGTGCCCATGGGTATGTTTAAATTATCTATGACTGTCAATCACGTTACCGCACTAGGAAACGGAATGGTCAGCAACTCTAGCGTCGTATATTCTGCTTTTTCGACTTGCGATATTAATAGCCGCGAGTGTGATGAGGCGCGAAGCATCTATAACCTGTAGCTTTTTTTCGGCGGTCAAATTTGAAAAAGAAAAATATAATTTTCGCCGTTTCCGCAACCGAAAACGCCTTTTCAACGCTCCCGTCGCACTGCAAACAATAATCACGTCTTTTGCACGTTTTTCGCACCAATCAATGAACCAATTGATCAACAATCACTAACATGCCGCGCCCCAACGAATGGCTATGGCACTTGCAGGATATAAGGGCAGTTGCTACGCGCGCAGTGTAATTTGAAATGAATGTGATATCATGACCTAAAAAGGGATTTTGGAAGAGGCCATCACCAGCTGTCATATCACTTTCCCTACGTTTCATTGCAAATTGTCCACTATCGAATTGTTGTAGCGAAAACCAAATGCCATGGTCGAGAAAGGTCTCGAGCACATGGTCATAAAATCCCTTGCATTCGTCTATCTCACTACCATCCATCGCCATTCTTCAAACTGCTTCGGGTGCATGGACGAGCATCGCAAGATCCTGACCAGGAAGGCCGCCGAATACGCTGTTAGGAAGTGTCGGTCGCATCGCAAGGTTACAGTTCAATTTTAATCGATGTTGACGTTTAAGCTGCTGTCGATCATTGTGCTTTGCAATAGTTTCGGCAAAACGTGATCGGTTTTGATGAGTTTGGACAATTACGCCGTCATTCATAGTAAGTAGAGGACATGAACAGACAAAACAATGCCGTTTAGGGTGACGACAGCCATAATTGCACATTCAAGACAGCAAAAATGGTTGTTTACGCTTATTCGTCTACTTATACATAGGCTTGTACGTAAAAAACATAAAAAAACCGAGAAAGTAAGCCTACGCGGGGAATTGTGGGCGGCAAAACGTGGCTCGCTGCGATGCAAAATTCATTAAAATATCCGAACTCTAGGGTCCTTTAACTTCGCGGAACATTTGTCATATCAAAATTGAGACTATAGAAACGAAGCTAGTGGCATAATCTAGCCATCTGTGGTCTTAGATTTGTGTGTGAAGAAGAATAGGGTGAGGAGTAGCTTAGTGATAGAGATTAAACTTTGAAACAGGTTATAGATCGAACACACTAAAGCAACAATAGTCTGACATCTGCATAGTCCTTACCGTTTGTACAGGCACCAAAAGTACGTGACCATCAAGTCAGCAACCCGTGGTGTCCCTCGTTACTTTCAGTGTTCATTTGATTGGTGAGCGTTGTCTTTTGTCACGCGAAAACGTCGGGAATATGGTGAGCAATCATAGGTGTACAATGCGGCCCTACTCATACGTTTGCTCAGCACGTCAAGCTCGTTGCATTACTCAACAGTCCACTTAGCGATACGACGACGCAGAAGAGAGGCACCTCACATAGCCTTACAGCATGGTTGTCGGACGCCGATGCACGTTCGCTTCATGAGTCAAGAAAGCCAATAGACACGACGACACTTCGCGAGCTTGTTTTTTATAACAACAGCTATAATGTAGATGCATACCATAGGTATAATTTTGACATTGACATGAAGGAACGAACGTGCAGAGATGAGTGTGTCGCCACCAAGCCCAGTTCTATCAATTTTCGAAGACAGCCACTGCAGCTCGAGATAACCCTCACACAAACATACTAAATACAAACGAGCAATGACAGTAGAGTGAGCTAACGTGAAGTCAGGAGCACGAAACATGCGTCTTCGGCTGAACAAATCTTCCAGTTGAGTTTGCTGTTTATATTGCAAGATGTGGGCACTGGGGGACAGGTTCCGACGTTGAGACGATGCGTGGTTCGATAGCGGTAGGCACCGAAAACAGCTGCCGTGTACATGATTGTAAGATTGTGACTTAATGTCGACACCGCCGTCAGAGACATGATCGCCAATCGTCCTGTGGATGATGACATGAATCGAAAACGCTTGGCATAATCGGAGACCTGCGTTGGCCGCTGGTAAAGGCATCCTTTGCAGTCTGAATCCAAACTACCAATATGGAATATAACGAAATTGTAAAAGGGCAATAACGATGTCACCTGAGGAATATATGACCACGCGGTAGCTTCTAAATCTAGAGTGTCTAGACCGGGTGTTTTGTATTCTTCTCCTATTGTGTCATTTGTGTCAGGATCAGATCACAAAAAACTATTGACGACCCGAGACGAGCCTTTCAGATGCGTCAAGCCAGAAAGGTAGATGCGTGATCCAACCAGGCTTCCTAAACTTCCCGACCTTTGAGGTGCGATCATGAGGGGCTCCATCACGTGATGCAAGCCCTAAAGATCAGCATTCTTGTTCTTCTTTGGTGAGTTAAGACCGATTCCGAGTAGGACAGCAGAAACATACGTGTGCGTAAAACTCTTATGGTAGGCTTTAGCGAATACAATGCTACACACGACACGCGGCTCATGCTACGATAACCGCACTTCATATCAAGTGCGTCGTCACTGATGTGACGTGCACCCCTTTCTTTCCCTCTTCCTGCATCAGGTTCAAGCTTTTTCTTCCTTTTTTCTCGTCTGACGCCCAGTATCAACTCCGAGTCCGTATCACCCGCATCAAATAAACACCTGAGTCACTGCTTTGATGGTTCACATCCATCGTCGCTGGCCTCTACTTCCTGTGGGCCATCCGCTTACGCTCTTTTCTCGATGGATACCACGACGACAATGGCCCATGCCAACTGACTTTGAGTGCGGGAAGCTGCCATCGGAAAAGAGTCCTGACGTGCACTTTCATCCCTAATCCGACGGCGAGCCACGTTTTTGATTGGCCACGAAAGAAATCGCTAACTACGAAACGCGGCGCCGTCGTCGGATATCTGTGTAAGACCAACAACAATACAAAACTGTCTTCAACATCAGTCCGCCGTCGGCGAAACGTCGTCGGAAACCCATCGGAAGTGCCTCATGGTCTTAGATGTCAACGACAATCGGATACTATTTCGTAGCGGAGACTGGTGGTTGTCAGGGCAGCGCTCTCGCGTTCATAGGACTCATTCCCAAATCCACTAACTGCATCAAACACACCGAGCTACGATCATGGCGGATGCTGACACGACGATCAACAAGCGACCGCTTCTCGCCGAAACGGTCAAACAAGGCGATGCGGCCAAGATTCCAGTAACCCTCTTGTCAGGCTTCCTCGGTAGTGGCAAGACCACGTTGCTGCAGCACATTTTGAAGAACAAGGAGCATGCCCTGCGAGTGGCTGTGATCGTCAATGATATGGGAGAGCTCAACATCGATGCGAACCTCGTCGCCTCAACTGGTGTCCTTCAGCGCAAGGAGGAGCTCGTCCGACTCGAAAACGGCTGCATCTGTTGCACCCTGCGCGTGGACCTGCTCGAGCAAATTGCTCGCATCGCTCAAGAGGGCGAAGTGGACTATATCGTGATTGAGAGTTCCGGGATCAGTGAGCCGATGCAAGTCGCTGAGACCTTTGAGTTCGAGCTACCAGAAGGTGCGGAAGAGATGAAGTCGGATCCGTTGCTATCTCCCAGCAGCTCGAAACGGTCTCGTACCGACTCTGGTGCCTCGTCGGGCGAGGACACCAGTGCCACTGCTGCATCTGAACCTTCCACTTCGGCTGGGATCCCAACTGTCCAGCTTGACGAACTGCTCGTTCGCGACGGCAAGAAGCTGCCACTACTGAGGGACATTGCCCAGCTGGACACGTGCGTGACTGTGGTCGACGCAGCTACTTTCTTCCACGTGTTTGACGACCCGCGTATGCTCGCGGACGTGGAGGAAAACCGCGAACAGCTTCCGGAAGGCGACACCCGCACGATCACGGATCTCTTGATCGACCAGATTGAATTCGCCGATATCATTCTGGTCAACAAGACGGACTTGATCCCTGCGAAGGACGTTGAAGCGATCGAGAAGGTGCTCCGTCGTCTCAATTCGTACGCGAAGATTGAGCGAACGGTCAAGAGCCGGGTCGACCCCAAGATGATCCTTGGCACGAAGCTGTTCTCTTTTGAACGGGCGTCGAGCCAGACGGGGTGGCTCGAGTCGCTTACGGTGCCGCACACACCTGAGACGGTTGAGTACGGGATCGGGTCATTCTTGTACAAAGCAGACCGACCGTTCCACCCTGCACGGTTGACTGGCCTTCTGCAAGACGAGTTCGTGATCGTCGAGGCACCATCGCTTCCGCCGTTCCCGTCGGACGACGTCGATGAGCACGGACATGAACATGGAGAGAAAGAAGAAGAAGAGGAAGAAGAAGAGGAGGAAGAGGAGGCTGCGGACGAAGAAATGGAAGAAGAAGACGGGGAGCCCCTGAACGAGCAAGAGATTGCCAAGCGATTGGAAGGCAAGCAAAACGGGCTGTTCAAGAACCTCCTTCGAAGCAAGGGCGTCTTCTGGCTCGGCACTAGATCCTTCAACTATGCTACCTGGTCACAAGCAGGTCTGTACTGCACGCTTTCCAATGGTGGAATGTGGATCGCTGCTTTGCCCGAAGAGGAGCGCACGCGCACGATGAAGGAGCTTCCGAACTATAAGGAACTGATGGCTCGCGAGCACGGCGATCGTGGCCAAGAACTCGTTTTCATCGGCCGGTTCTCGCAGGACGACAATGAAATTGCCAACATCCGCGCGGCGCTGGACTCGTGTCTTCTCACAGACGAAGAGATGAAGCAGTATGTTGCAGGCGATGTCGAGGAATGGGAAGACCCGTTCGAGCCGTGGGAGTACTACACCTTTGAGGACTGAGCGTCTGGCGTTCGTTGGTATGATGAGTTTTTGACTGTATAAAAACAAAAGAACTTAGGACGTGCGTAACGCTCAATAACAAAGCAGGCAGTAAGAACGGTTGTGTGTGTGTTTGTTGCAACATGCATGTCGGACAGAATGGAAAGGGGACACTAGTAGCATTCTTGAACATCCAAAATCAGGAACACGGCCTTGACAGATGTCGATCGTTTCGTTTCTCTGTTTCATCGTGAATAGACCAAGACAGGATTCTTACCGTCACGTGGGAATCTCTGCTGATCACACTATTCTGTCTTCGTTCTCACCCGATGCAAACTAGTGGTGGATTGTAACTGGTTGATCTGGCTAATGCCTCTGTTTTGGGAACAGAAGATCAAAGATCAAATCCTTTTCTTCCGAAAATTAACTAGCTTTACCTTTCACGATATTTTAGTAGCTTGGAGGTTACGCGCAAACATCGGTAACTCGTTGTCCTCCACACGCATTTAGCAGATTCCTTCACTAGGCCAATGGAGCTCAACTTGAATGAGAGAGTGTCGGCAATGTCGATCATATTAGCGAGAGAGAAGGACGCACGATCGTCGCGAATGTAAGCGCAACATCTTTCTGCTACATCGGTCATGATGCATCATGTTGTAGACGCACGAAAGAGTTTGCAGCATTGCACTGTGATGCTGTACCGCTGTACCATCTTCGTATGGGAACTAGAAGAAGGTGTGTTTCTTCGTCATGAGGACTTTACTTCGGGAACGCTTTGGATCTGATGATCGAGGCAGTAAATGCGCTTCTCTCGCTCGAGCAAGACGCAGTATCTGCCGGTGTTGTTACAACAATGGGCTGTGACTGGTAGGCTATGATCATCATTTTCAGTCACACCATCATTTGCTTTATAACCATGGAGGCCCGCCCAGATTGGAGCTGCCTATGCTGACGTGTCACCCATAAGCAATGCTCACACGTGCTGCATCTTCTCCTTGTGCCTTCTTCATGCGGATAGCAGCTGGATCATGCAATAATGCTTGACAGCCAAGCAACAAAACAGCAAGAGACGACGTTGACGCTTGTGTCGGCGATCATTGGCGTTTTCGATATACGAGATCCTGATATCCAGGTACTCACTGTCATATGCGATCGATCACAGTGCCAGTGCCGCTCATTAGCACAGCGACCGTTCGAAGTTTTCGATAGCATCGCTGACGTGGACTTCCACACTGTAAGCTTTAGCGCGGTCTAAGATAATGTCAAGAAGTCATCGGTTGCGCCTGACGCTGCGCAAGTACGTTGACAACCGCTGCCCATACACTGCACCATGATAAATGATCGTCTTCATCTTGCAGTGGCGCTTTGATACCATATTCGGCATTACAAGGACACCGCAAAAGCTGGTATAGCATGCAAGAAGGAACGACAAAGTTTGCGCGGTATATTTTTGCGATGTTACTCTCGTGTCCAATTTCGCGAACAGCATCACGTCCTGGAATAGCAAAATGAGATGTGATTCTTGATCTTTTGCTTCCTTCTAGCTCCGCAGATTCGGCATGGTCAGTGTAGTCGATGCATCTGTCAATTGCTTACGTCGTATGATATATCCGAAGCGGTCCAGTAGTTGTAGGCACCGCGACCGTGCTACATGCAAGCACTTATGCTATGCTTTCATTTTTCACTGATCATGGACAATCGCTCTCTTGCCATAAAGACACTGGCTGATCATGGCGTAGTTGCGAAATCAGTTTATCGCAGCGTTCCATGCTGAATGCACAGCTGTAATGGACCGGTTGACCCATAGATGAAACGATTGTGGGGTCGAAGAAGTCTTGGATGGCATGAGTCACGCAACACCCACGTTTGCACAGAACGCCGCATATTATTTGCAGCACAAGGGATCGGTAAGAACGTGTCGTATCGACCCGACTATCGAACACGTATGGCCAAACGTTAGACGAGTACGCTGCAGGTGAGTGGATGATCGTTACGGCAAGTCTGTATCCGCTTTCCATGTCGAGTAAGTTTACAATGAGTGTTGTTCGCATGCGACGTTGTCGAGCGCTATCTCAGTTATGCGTCACCGTTGACAACATGCCGTCCTTGTCAGTTAAAACAACGCACTCAATTGCCGTTGTTTGGCCAAGAGGCAATGAACTCGCCACAAGTGGCGTCACCCTATCATCCGTGCGCGTGAGATCGATAGTTTGTAGCACTGATCAAATGATGTTTGACCCCGTCCGAACTGGCGACTAAACAACGTCGACGCATCTTCCTATGTATTAGTATCCGAAAGTGTGTACTGCCAAGTGCGGTTGTCCGCTAGATGCAGCATTAAGCTGCATACAAGTCTCAGAGCCGTAGGTCGAATACGACATATCATCGATACTTGCGCTTCGATAAGAGCCAAGTCCCAGCATTGCTGTCTGCCTTTACATAAGAAAGAATCACGTATTCGGTGTACACGACTGACGAAGGTTTTTATCCTTGAAATTGCCATGGCATACTAGATCTTCAGTATGACACGTTGCATACGCAACCGCCTGTATGCATACATGACTGCCTTAGACTACATCGTCGATGTCCTTTACATTGCACACATGTCAAAGAAAGCCCGACATCTGCACAATTTCGTAGCTGAAACAATGCGTCTTTTTAATGGAAATGCTAGTCGCAGTAAACGCTTGTTAGATGACATCGACTACCAGCGAATGTTAGGTAAGTGGGTTTTGTACAGATGCTGTTCATTATCATTTACATTGGCATGATGTAGTAGTGCTAACGACCGACAAACGGTGCGTGATATATATTTAGCGCAAGCAAATGCCCGTACTCACTTTGGTACAGATTTCGATCATACGAATCAGCATTCTCCATCGTCACAGCTGTGGAAAAGAAGAGCACAAAGTGCTCGATGCGACGCGAAATCATGAAACATCTACTAGTACTACTAGACCAAGCACCGTCGCATCGTCTGATTCCACGCTATTAAGAACATAACTTCGATCGATGTTGAGCCCGCACAAGTATAAAGGAGGCAACTGAGATCAAGATCGGAAGAGGCTTCAACACTCGTGATCCGCTCGCTTAGTAGACAGGGATCCAACTCGGAAGCAATAAAGTCGGTACCTTCTGTCCACCGCCGGGACCAAAACAAACAGTGCTCGCCATTCGAATGCAATAGCGCTGCTGGGCCGTCGTCAGCTGTAAGTTGATGACCTGCATCAGCCACCTGGTCCGATAATTCTCATAGTTTATGACAAACATCCATAGTGAAACCCACTCCACACCATTTCTCGACGTGGCTGGGGCGACGCCGACAGTCTATACGGACAAAAGTCTCTTGTGGGAGAAATCGAAACAAAGAGGTTCTTGGATCAGCTACAGACGTATCCGGACGGAACGTCTTGTATCAGCTGACGGGTATTATCTGTATTTCGTAATATACGCAATATAAAGTTTGATCGTACATCGACGCCTGCAAACTCGACAGCACTGTATCTACTGCTACTGCTGCTTCTTCTTCTCCTACTGCTTTGTCATGGACGAGTCTTCGCGCTCCGAATGCCGGGAGCCGCATAAGAGGCACTACAGCTTTAGTGCGAGCGACGACGTGGTCCTCTTCCGAACCGTGCTAGAAAATCTGGATATTTTCTCGTTTATCCAAAGTCAGCGGACAAGAGCGTGGCGGGTCATAACGCAATGCCTGTGCGACCAAGGGATCAGCTGTACGACTGAGTCGGCCCGGTACCGGATCAAGCGACTTGTTGAGAGGCACCGGGAGGAAGTGGCGAAAGGGCAGGGGCCACAAGGTAACTTCTGAGCGTCTTGGATCGATTGTAGTACGATATGATCACGGAGATAGATATGATCTAAGTATGACGTGGATATGACAGACGACGCCGCGAGCACGCCTCTAGAACAACTGCTGGCGCAGTACACACAAGCCAACGACCAGTTTGAGCAAAGGGGGCTATCAATGCCTACGATATTGCAAGACTTGTCACGCAATGCACGAAGCCGTCACGGTCTGGATGAGAACCGTGGAGGTTCCGAGGATATGACCGACGACTCGACCCCAATGTCCAACGGGATAAGTCAAGATCTATCAGATCTACCCCTACCACCTGCACCTACACTATCATCCGAGCAGGCGGCTCTCAAGAGCAGCAAAAAGCCCCGAAAGCGGCGGTTTTTCTTTGAAAATGGACACGACGTGATACTGCTGCGGCTCATGTTGGCCGACGAAGGAGTTGTCACGGCTTCAGGGGTCAAACGACCGCAGTGGAAGAAAATTGAGGCAGCTGCGAACAGCAGAGGGATGCCTGTGAATACTCACACCATTCGCACCCACATACGGCTGCTGGTCGATGCGTATCAAAAGGAAGAAGATATGGGTGAGATCAAGCCAGATAAAATGTCGGAGAAGCAAAAGCTCCTGAGGGAATATTGTAGAAAGCTGGAGGAAACGAAGCAAATGTATGCCGGTAGCAGTGAAGACCGGGTGGACCAGCCTACCCATGGAAAAGATGGTGATTGGCGCCGTGAATCGATCCATGAGAGCAGAGACCGCGCGAAAACTGAAGTGCCTCTAGCAGCATTAGAGACGCCTTCTCAAGCTCAAGTATTGACAATTGCGGACAACACGACGAGTCAAGATGATGAACCAACCGTCGTCCATGCTCTGGAAGCAGCTTCAAACTCTTCTCCCGACCATGTCGCGACATCGACGAAAGTCGCCGAGGACACGATGACCCAAAGACCGGAGACAGCCAGACGTCGACCGGTCTCTGAATCAACCAGCACTGCAGTTCGCGCGTTATCAGGCGTGGCATCAGCTTCTTCAACTGATGCTTCCAGCGCACCCGTCAAAACGTTAGCACGTGCGCAATCAACTCGATGTGCTGAAGCCGGCGAAGTTATGGAATCGGTATCGAAAAAGCAAAAGCTGGGAGTTGATGCCGTCTTGGATCGCTTTATCTCGATGCAGCGTGACTACCAAAAAGAACAGCGAGAGCACGAGAGGACCATCAGTAGTGAACAACGGAGCTTGCAGCGGCAGACGATCGAGCTACAAACGCGGGCGCTAGACATTCAAGAGAAATCAATGAGCATGCAAGAGAGGCTAATGGCGATGATGGAAAAGGTCATGGATAAGCTCCAGTAAGTACTCGAAGTGCTACATGCCAGCAAACGGTTCGAGCGCACGATCTGTGACTCCACAGCGTCGTATCATTGAGCTGTACTGGTACGTGACCAGTCAGTGCTATCAAATGGGGTCGACTGGGTGTCAACTTGCATCTTTCCTGGTCGACAAGGACTTCTTTTGGCGCGTGACGACGGACGTCCATGTAAGGGAGATCAAACACGCCGCGGATACACTTTTGGTTGGCATGATCGAGTGTCAATCGCTCAGTCTCGCTGGATCGCAGCAAACAACGAAGTAAAAGCAAACGATCGTCCATGTTGTACGTAGATACTTGCTTCAAGCTGTCGTTTGACGTGGTGCTGACATTGCGCTCGCAGGTTCTTCAGAATGCCAATGTGGTCGATCGCAGACCTATCGGAGACAAAGTGAGGAAGGCGCCGGATAAAAGTCGCCATTGTACTCGAGCGTCGAATCGCAAAGTGTGCGGCATATTCAGGACAGGTTGGCACGTTAGACGAATCCTATCGCCAGCAAGTAGTAAACCAGGGCAACAAGAGTTTATGTGGCGGATTATGTGAGAAGGGCTCTTCAGCTGAGCGTTCCTGTCATTGAATACAAACACACACGTGCCGCGCATGAGACGGTCGCTGCTTCATGCTGAAAAAGTCCACTACGACGTCAGAAGTACGACAATAGGATACCGCCGTGTGGCGCCTGCAACAAGTCAGATTCTTGCTACGTGATAAAAATAATGCTACAACTTGCTAAATTACATCGTTCATACCGCCTGGTACACGTGCCGCTCACTCTCAGGCAAATCTTCGAGAAGCGACTCCTGCTTGAGCCACTGGAGGGTGCAAAACTTACCCAGCCCAAAAAGCTGGAGACGATCGTGCCCGTACTGGTCGCGGTAGTGCTCGAACAGCCACTGCAGGATTTCCAGTTCGTCTGCCGTTGTTGCATTGACAAACGCCTTGGACGTACAGCCTTCCGATCGTGCGCTTCGCAAGAACAATAGGACTCGGAAGTGGCCATTCGAAGCAGCTCGGTCCATTGCTGCCCCGGTACACCCTTCACCTCGGTTGTCGTTCAGCCATTGCACAACGTCCAAATGACCTCTGCCAGCAGCGCTATCCATCGCCTCGGTCGTGCAGCCCTCTGCTCGGTTCTTGTGAAGCCACTGCACAACATCAAGATGACCGCCACTAGCGGCGCGGTCCATTGCGTTGAACGTACAGCCCTCTCTTCGATGACTGTGAAGCCACTGAACGACGTGCAAATGACCGTGCGCTGCGGCCTCGTCCATCGCATCGCTCGTGCATCCTTCGTTACGATGACTGTGGAGCCACTGCACGACCTCCAAATGCCCGTTGCGAGCTGCCAGACTCATTGCTGCAACCGTGCATCCCTCTTTTCGGTTTGCGTGCAGCCACTGCACAACCATAAGGTGATTTGCACGTGCCGCACCATCCATCGCTGCTGTCGTGCAGCCCTCGTTCTCGTTTCGATGCAGCCACTCCACCACCATCAAGTGGCCGTTCATAGCAGCTCCATCCATCGCCCCCTGCGAGCAGCCCTCGTTTCGGTTCGCATGCAGGAACTTTACAATCGCAAAATGTCCATTCGTCGCTGCTTCGTCCATTGCTGCCTTCGTGCACCCCTCACGACGGTGCAAGTGGAGCCACTCGACAATCTCAAAGTGACCATTTGCCGCAGCCACATCCATTGCTGCGGTCGAACAGCCCTCTTGTCGAGTCGCTTGCAGCCACTGGACAATCTCGAAATGTCCGTTGCCAGCTGCCTTGTCCATTGCCGTGACCGTCGCGTACCCAGCATTGCGCTGTAGCCACTGGAGCACATCCAGATGGCCATTGGCAGCCGCGTCGTCCATCGACGCCGACGGCGACGAGCAAAACATGTGGCTCCGCAGCCACTGCAGCACGTCCAAGTGGCCGCCGCTTGCCGCCAGCATAGCGGCGTGAGGTGACCACTCTCCCCGCACGTCGCACAGCCACTGGACCATAGCGAGATCGCCGTTCCGTGCCGCTGCCTCCAGCGTGACGAAAAACATGTGCGTCGGCATGGGGTTCGTGTGCGCCTGGAGCCACTGGACCACGTGCAAGTGGCCCTCTTGGCCGGCGTAGTAGAGCTCTTTTGCGCCCCAAAAGACACTCAACGCGCGCAATGTCGGGCGCCGCTTGTGCGGTCCAACCGCACTGCCCCACCTGCTCTGCTCGTGGAGCCACTGCAGCACGTGCAGCTGTCCGTTCTTCGCCGCGGCTTCGACCGCGAGCGTCACGTAGCAGCCGGGAAAGTGCGTCACGAGCCACTGCAGTACGGGCACGTCCCCTCTCGCTGCGGCGCGGGCCATGCCGCAGGTAAAGCACTTTTGCCGAAAAAAGCGGTCCGTCTGTTCGCACACAACGCGTGCGGCCGCCGCCACGCGCCGCTGGCCGACACACGGCGGCGACTGTTCGCACTGCTGCGCCAACAGGCGGTGGGCCCGTGCGACACGGAGCGCGTCGCGCGTTGCAACGCGTTGCACGAGACGGAGCGCACTGTGGGGGCAGTGGCCCGCAAAGCCGCAGGCGGTCGGCAGCGTCCACTGCGTCGACGCGTCGAGGAACGCGCTGATGGTGGCGGTGACGTGGGACAGGGCGGCCACGCGCGGGTCCGCGCGCGTGACGACCGTCGCCGCGGTTAGGGGAAGCACGTCACGGGCGGCCATGCGGGTGCGTCGGACAGCGCAACTTGGAAAGTGAGTGGGGCGACGGACCGGCGGCGTTTGTTGTGATCTTTCGGGGTCGACAAAAAAGATGCTTTTTTGATGAGGCGGGGGACTGGACCGCGTGGTGGTGCGGTTTTCAGTGCTTTTTTTGGTGTAAAAAAAGTAGAGGCGTCAGCGGGGGGGGGGAAGTTGGGGCGGGGAGGGGGCGATGGTTAAGTGCGGTGTGTCACGTGTGACAAATGCGAACGAGGCTCGGTGCGATGTCACGTGGTCGAATAATCGAGACGATGCATGTTGTGTGTCAGGAACATGTCGCGTGCACGATTGCATCTGCTGCAGAGTCTTCTGGGACGGATGTAGCCAGTGATGGAGCTGTGGGAATCGACGGTAGACGTGGAGGGAACGTGGATGGAAACTGACTGGATACTAACGTAGATGGAAAATCGTAGCGGCAAAACGTGGTCTCTTGCGTTTGTGGCTGAAGAATTCGTAGACTATCGATAGCTGATACTGTATTGTTGAGCGACTCGATGAGGAGGAGGAGGAGGAGGATGGATCGGAGATAAAGTCGATACACACGCGCGGCAGAGCTGTCGACTTTTTGCGAATTTCCAGTAAAAAATCCTTTTCAGCTGCTAAACGTAGTACCAGATCGGTCGGAAAACGAGTGGAAAGAAGACGCGAATACTACTGATGCAACTGAGCGACAACCGCTGCGCGTTTTGTGACTCATACACATGTCGGTAGTCCTAGACGAGGGTCCGCCCCTTGATCGACAGTCGGGATAGAGATAGAAATCGAGATACTGTGGCCTGTCTACGCGAGGGGCACCAACCAGCTGCTTCGATAGCAACAGCTGCGAAACGTCAGACTTGACGCTTTTCGGTGGCTTTAGTTCCGAGAGAATGATAAACGCTGCGGTTGACAGTAATGTAGGGAACATGCAGCACACGTACGACAGGTATGGGCTTGTATGCTTGTGTAAGCAGTTGACGTCTCAACCGCGTTGCCCTCATTCCAATATGTCGTTACTGATAAGGTGTACTAAAGCACATACATTCGAGGCATAAATTGGCCACGAGAACGCTGTTCGGAACACAAAATACGCATCGCTCTGTCTCGTCTACGAACGCACAACAGACGCTCGTACATTGTCGCGTCTCGGTACATATTATTCGCTGCTCTCCCATCGATTCTCTGATGTCCAACGTATATTGCGCCCCATGCTGCGGAGAGGAGAGAACTTTGGTCTCCAACGCGTCGGTTGGCACCTGAAGTGCATGTGGACAAGCACCGTCCACATTTCTGCCGCTCAGGATACTCCTTGGCAGCCAGTTTTAACTTTCGTGGACGTCTATTGCAGCTGCAAATTCAACATGGATGCATGTCTGCCTGCCGTCCGGGTACGATTTGCTTGGCTGCAAACATCTTACGTTGAGCACGACGCGAGCAGCCGTCCTAAACGATGGTCGCTCAACAACGTCTCCATCAGCTGCTTCAGCGCACGATTTGCATGGAGCTGTGACTTGCTCAGTGGTGCGCGCGTCAAGGGATCGAAGCATCCATTCACTTCCAGATGCTGCTCGATCATCGAGCGCTCATACGTATTGCCGTCAGGTGTGGTAACAGGATCATCCATCAGCTCCAAGCTCAGTGGACAATGGAATATTTCCACCATCTGCGCCAGCGTTTTCGCGGCGTCTTTACCTGCTGCCGATTCTTGCTCCTCATGCACACCACAAGCATCACCAGACGCAGCATCTTCGTTACCATTCTCCTCTACAGAAAGCAACATGTCATAGACTCCTTGACGTAACAGCCCAACCACCTTCATCTCCATGAGGATGGACTTCTTCAATGCAGCAGCAGTCATAGGTACACCAGCTGCTGACGATCGTGAGCTCACAGCAGCCGCCGACGCTACACCTGCACGGTCAAAAGCCTTTTCTAGTAACTGGAAAGCTTCGTCGTACGATTTGTACGCTCGACGACACTTGCCTTTCCATAGCAGAATAGCAGCCTCGCCCTCGACTGACGCATTAGTGATATCTTGAGCTATACTCAAGTACTGCCACGCATTCTCGATTTCGTCCAGCGCGAAGAAGCACTTGGCGCATGACACGTAAGCACGAACTCGCTGACGGGTGGTCTCGGCATCTTCTACACTGCAATCTTCAAGGGATGAAGAAGCAATGGTCGACGTGCAAGTAGCAGCTTCCCGGTAACATACAATCGCGGCCTGGAAGTCTCGACGGACGAACAAGTCATCACCCTTCGAAAGTTGGTGGCGCATGAAGAATGGGTTCTCAGGAGATGTCGCAATCTCAATTGCCTGGATTTGCAATTCTGGCGATGAGCTTGCCATGACCGCAAGGTAGTTTGCATTCTCTTCCCACAAGTGAGCGAGCCCGTGAAAGATTGCAGCTTTATCGCCACCAAGTGCTTGGATCGCTTGGAAATCGGGCGCCACTAAGTCGAATCTTCGGAGACGCAAATTTGCTGTCATGCGGTAGGCAAAGCACTTCACATGTTCTGTATTGTCTGGCAAGTCATCGAGGGCCAGCGTGAGCTGCTCGACTGCTGCGGGGTATTGCTTTGCAAAGAACGCTTCCACACCTCGCTCCATCCGCGATTGCTGCGCTGGAGTGATACGCCAAGCACACCACATTGCTCCGCCTTCCTTTGCAGGTGTTCCGCTAGCTCCATCTGGCGCCGCTCGTGTGAGTACGTGGCGTCTCTTACTGTCCATCATGTCTACTGTCGGTGCGTACAAAAACTCGCGCTGATACGGATTATACAATGCAAACACATCTCTCTCCTCGTCACTCAAGGCAACAAGCTGCCACCTTCCTGCTTGTCCAGGCGAATCATCCTTTTTTCTCCACGTAAACACTCGACTTCTCGTCTTGCCATGTCGATCTTTTTTGTACTTCGCGTAATCTGCAGCATACAGGTACTCCTCAAGATGCACGTTTCGCACCAAGAACGTGTCAGCGTGCACGTCTGCAGGGATCAATCGCCACTGAGCTTTGGTCCGATCTTTCTCTGCTGGCCACGGTGCGACTGTGTGCTCGGTATCATCGCCCACCCAGCACAACGCATGGCGGCGGTCGTGATCGAATGTCCCATCTTCGCCCGGAGCATACAACAGCTCTTCTTTACTTGGATCGCCAAAGAAATACTCACTGCGTCCAGTTCTCGACAGGATCGTGAGCTCCAACGGCTGTCCAGAGGCCACTGCCCGCAGCGTGGGACTCACCCACGCGTACCAGTAGCTCTCAGCTCTCACGCGGGCACTGCCTTCCAAGTGGCTCATGAGCTTCAACAGAAAAAACGCCAGCGGAAGCTGCGGGAACTTGCGTTGTCTGGCTTCCAGAGCAAGTAGAGCGTCTCCGTCTGCGCCACTGCTTGGCGCCCGTAACGCGCAGCTCACACTCTGCAGCACGGCACAGCCATCCAGCGTCCAGTGCCAATTCGGAAGTGCCTCGAGGAACGTCAGCAACACAGGCACGTCAAACAGACCCGCTGCGTAGAAATCACGGAGCGTTGTCTCGAGGTACGCTTTACAGCGCGACTCCAGGTCAGGGAGACGCAGAAAGCTCGAGCGCGCACGGTCCGGTTGCTTGTGGAGCAGATGGGCGCGCGTTTCGGCCAGTAGCGGCTCGGCATTCGACGCGAGACGCGCTGCCGCGACGTCGTAGGTAGCCAGCTCCATGGAGACGCTTTTGTGCTGAGAAGATGATGGGAATCGGGATGGAGGTCCTAGGATAGCGACTAAATTAGGATCAACTTGGGGGCGCAGAGTCGAGACTGTTGTTGTTGTTGTACGCACACAGACGAGTACGATGAACGAACGATTGTCGAACGACTTGCAAGGAACGTCTCTTCAGCAATATGAGTACATAAGTTAGTAAACAGTATGTTCACTACTATGTGTACTCACGTGTACGAATCCATGTGCATGTATATTGTCGTTGCGTCTACGTCCAAGCTCGTTGGTAGCGGCCAGTAACTTGCGTCTTGTGTCAGGAGGAGGCAGTGGACAGCACAGCGACGTAGAGGAATCCGTCGGCGTATAAAAAGTTGCGGTAGAGCTCGACGAGTGATACGTCAAACGGGACAGAGACGCCGTGCACGACGATCTGGAAGTGCTCAACTGGTGAGCTCGAGTCCGTGTCGGGAAACAAATCTGGCAGTAAATATTGCAGTACTTCCCGCAACGTTTTCTCGCGGCCTAACGACAACGTCCACGCCAGTTGTTAGTAACGTCAGCATCTCGTTTGTAAAACGAGCCACTACGAGTAACACGACCGGCGACTACGTACCGTTGTCCAATGGCGCAACCGGCATTTGGATCACAGGCGTGTTGTCCAGGTGCACGCGCAATGGTAGATGGCGCAGCTTTGAAGTCTCTGCCCCTCCGTCTAAGTGCAGGTCCCGTGTAGCTTCCTGATAGCGCTCGAAATCATCTGCCAACAGCAAAAGGAGAACAACACATACCACCTTAGCGTCTGCTCAACTGCTGTCCATAGCTACAGCAGCTCGTACTTTGCAGCAAGCTAGTCCAGATCTGCGTCTGCTGCGCTTCCGGTAAGGACATGACAGCTTTTGTGGACCCCATCCGCAGAAACGTGGCCTGCTTTAGACTGTGCATAAAATGCGACTCAACGCTCTGCTCGTTGTCGCAAGGTAGCAACACGTCGACAGGGAATCCCAAGAAATGGACAGTCAGTGCCCAGGGCAAGTCTGCATCGCCGTCGGTTACGGGACCACAGAGCAGGTCTCGGAGCAACCCGAAAGGCATGTGCCAATGCAGTGGGACTCCTTTGGCCTCGAACCAGATGTTGACTCCCTGACCACCAGACACGAGAGGAGCTGCATCCTGGAAATACTCGACAACATCTCGGGTTTGGGACACCAAATAGCTCATACGGGGGATCATTGCCTGACACACAAAAGAGCATAGGACCCACGATAGCATAACAAGAGAGCATAAGAATAAGAATAAAAAATATGATACGAAAATTAGTCAGAGTCATAATCAATCCGAATAATTATCTGTTCGTCGTTGAAATGGAAATCGTTCAGGAATCATTGTGGCAAGCAAAGCAACACACACGTAGAACGGACGAGGCGCATGGAGAGTCGTGACTTCGTTCGGATCGAGACAGAACATGACAGGGATCCGGCCGGCCCACACGCGCTGCTTCAGCAGAGTCGCTGACGTCGATGATGTTGTTGACATGAAATCGTGAATTGAAGAGCGAGATGTTGCTGCGCGATATGCGTCGATTGCAGCAACTTGTTTGTGTTATGCCAGCGACATAGCGGCATTGTACTGAAAAGTGTCGATGATCATATCGTCACTTCTAATTTCTTAATTAAGCTCTAGTTCAGACAACTGCTGCAAACATGTAGTCAGCTCGCTCACTGTATTCTCGAGTGTGTCGCGACACTACTACCTATCGCTAGATGTCGCAGGTTGCGCCTGCACCAACACGCACGACGGACGTATCATTGCAAGTGTCGGTTGTACATTTATTCTGAAGTGCGTGGATCGCGCATCGCATGACGACTTCATGATATGGCTGGCGAGAAAGTGCGTTGGAAAAAAGATGCGGGACGTCAGCCTCCGGTCCTACAATGTTCATGGCATTGCGTCAACGAACATGTATGCGAATAATCGACGAGTGCCATGTAACTCGTTTGACAAGTGGGTGTCAAGTCCTACTAGAATAATGGAATGTATACGACCAGCTCTTTGCCTTTTGCTATCGTGCTCGGCTACAACGAACCCACGTCAGTCGTGTTACTTGTGTTTATACGATACAGAGCTGACCTAGTGGGACGTGGAGAAAGACCGTGTTGTAGCGTTGTGAGACAGCGAACGATATCTTACGATCCGACTGTGTTGGAAAGAGCACCGTCACAGTCGATTCTTCGCGTAGTCGCGACTTGTCGAATGCGATCGTCATCGGCCACCGGAAGCTCATTTCCGAAACTTCCTCATACCGAATCGGTCCACATTCCAATGGTCTCGCTGTCAAACCTGACGGTCTGCACTGCTGCCATCATGCTTGCTGGCGGTAGTGGCGACGCCAAAAAGCACTCAAGTGGCGTCTGCTACGCTCCGTGGTACCAACCCGACGTCAACTGGAAGGTTCTTGCCGACGACATGAAGCACATCTCTCAACACTTCTCCAGCATTCGTACGTACCAAGCGCAGTTCAATAACGTGAACGCCATCACCGTGGCAGCTTCAGCTGGCCTTCGCATCGCAGTTGGCGTGCAACTGACGGATGTCCGTTGGATCGACGCCGAGATCCAAGCTGTTTGCGACGGCTACGCAAAGAGCCCTTGGGCCGTTGAAGCTGTTTACGTCGGCAATGAAAACCTCAGGAATGGTATGTTTGGCACATACACGGCTCAGCAGCTTGTTGACTACATTCGCAGAGTCAAAAGCTGCGTAGGTGACACACCAGTGGGCACTTCTCAGCGTATCACCGAGTGGCTAAGCGCGGATACTGCCTATTTGTTGGCCGACGCGTGCGACGTCATTGGTGTCAACATCCATCCGTTCTTCACACCAGGCTCTCAACCTTCCATTCAGAAGCTGGAGGCTCAATGGAGCCTAATGGTGTCAAAATACGGCTCGAGCAAGGTCCGACTAACGGAGACGGGCTGGCCATACGCTGGTGAGTCCTACGGGAATAAAGGATCTGGTGGCAACGTCCCGTCGACTGAAGGTATGGCGCAGTACTTTCACGACTATGTCAACCGGTGGTGCCGCAACAAGAGCCAGGCGTATTGGTTTATGATGTACGACACGGCGGTGAGCTACACGGGTGCGGAGTACGAGACACACTTTGGTCTTTTCGGCATCGACAAGTCGCCTCACATCAACATGCCGTGATTGCAGAATGCATGTATGCATGTTAGACGATCGAAAGCACTAAGCGTTACATGTTACAACAATGGCAAGACGGTCTATGCGGAAGTAATAAGACCAGCGTGACCCGCACTGCTCTGATCAACGTTCTGCTCTTGACTAACCAAAATACACTCTTGCGCGCCAACGTTGCGTGTCAATAAGTGATTCGCACATCATGTGAGCTTACCGGTCGTTCAAACGTCAGCTGTCGTCAAGAAGCAGGGATAGAGGGATGTCCTGTCTCATTGTTACTGTGCCGATGGACTGGGTATCGTCGGCTAACGACACCACTACCGAGCTTACAACAAGATGGCGGACAGGGCTGCAAACGTCGTAATGTATTCGCGGGCGTCACAGCAGACTTGTGCGCATGGGAATCGTCCACTCATAGTTAGTCTGGAACAGCAATTGAACAACGACGTGCAGCGATGGCTGACTTCTACAGCAGCACGTGAACGATCCTGTGCGCCTCTTCGCAGCGTCGACGTAGCAGTCTCAGCTGGAAAGTAGAAGCGTGATCCCGCTTTTTGCTTGGCGCTGTAAACCCCCAACCTAGCCATTAGAGACCTATGGAGTACCTCATTGAAGCTCACTCACTCACATGCCCGCCTTTTCATACTTTCATGCTGTCTTTTGAAGAGCTTAGAACATATGAGCAAAAACAACGTGATAAACTAGTAATTGAGATGGTAGCTCAGCGTTTCTGAACCCCGGTTGTCTAGCCTCTTGTAGCGATACGTAGCACTCGTAAGCGTCCGCACTATTCTATCTCGGACCCCTGTCGCCAAGGGCTTGGAACGCGGTACAGTCTCCTTCGACGTAAACAAGGCAGTTCTCCTAATTGACCGATTTCGATGGAAAAACCGTCCTAGCACCGCCGACTCCAATGCTAGTGTTAGTCCTTACACGCCTGTGCTTGAGTGACACTAGCGCAATGTCAAAAGAAAGTATAGATGCTTTTTCGACGCGCATCTGAAAATCGTACTACCTACAAATATGCGCAGATGTCTCGTGATCATAGAGGAGAGCACACATCGTGTGTCGACGTATTTTGTTACATCGCTGCGAATCGAGAAACTGTAAGAGAGTGCTTCCGTACTATACCTTCAACTTCTTCTGATCTTCGTACATATCCATAAATGAAGGGAGCTTGTTCATTTTGGCGGCTACAACATCCCAGACGTTAGTCGGTTGAGTCGTCGAACCTTTGCACGTTTGACAGTCGGATGGTCGATGCCTAGGAGTGTACTAGATGGCTATAGATTCCAGTAAGATCGGAAGCTTGATCATATGCCGTAGTGAGCGTGGATCTTACCCATTCTTGACAAGGTACACACGATGCGTATGTTCACGGAACGGACGCAAGGGCTTTGTCAGAACAAATGGCACGCGCATATTACGTTTGGGTGCGATGCAAGTGGCGGCTGGCGAAAGTGATAACAGAGGATCACCACGTGATGATGAAATGACGTAGGTAAGATATCGTTCTTGTCGATGGAAAAAGATTGTAGAACATGGGCTTCGATGTAGCATGGCAAACGTGAGAAGTATTTTCATCGATATGTCGCTTCGGTATTCGCCTTTGCATGCACGTAGACAAGGGTTTGCACTGCCAAATGTAGCTGAGTGTCAAGAGAGCACAGTGGGAAGAAGTCAAGAACCAAGACTTTACCTATTCCATTACTATCACTCATTCATCATTTTTATCCCACTATTCAAGTTTTTTACTACGAGTTCTGATGCTTCAGTCAGTGTAAAGCACTACTTCAGCGGCCTGTTCATATTGTGATAAGATGATCTATCAGTTTTTTTCGGTAACGTCTCGAGTCTTCTTCCAAGCGGTCAAGCAAAACGTAGGTATCGACGACACTGCAGCCGATGATTGGCTTGTATGCTGCAGGAACACCCCAACGAGACAACGGCTTTATGGCGCAAGACGAATGGGTTCACGCTTGCCATGGGTTTTGCTGTCGCTCTGCCGTCGCGCCATGAGCTGTGGGATCCAAACGTTGGTAGGGATACAACTACTATGGCCTCGAAGCTTATTCGAAGTCACCCGGTCGTCTCATTCAATACGTTTATCTTCCCCGTCAAAGAAAAGCTGCTTTGTCACACCGCCACTAGTACCTTTTACGCTGCGTTATGATTGTACCGCACCATTCTCCTAATCGATATGCGTTCCTTCTTGCAGAAACCTACCACCTTCTCCCAGAAATGGCCAATGCTTCTGTTTCTGACCTTGACGAGAGACAACATGAGCCCTGGAGTATCGTAAGCTTCTTGCGAATGACTGACACGCGACAGACTACGTCGCTTGTCTTCTGAGACCCGGTATTGCATGGACTGTCCGCTGTTGCATCCGCCGGAGCTAAATGCCCGCCGACGTGATCGCTTGATGGCGTCCTTGTAGTTCTGCCAGAATAGTGTGCGTAAGCATCCCGTGAATGTATCAGTGGTCACCTTTCGGAATGCATAGTTTTGTAACTTATAAGGCCGAATGATTTGGCCGCAGTGGACGAGTGTCGAGTAATGGCGTACCATTGCTAAGCCGGAGCGTCGACAACTTACGTCAATCAATCTCAGCTGCGGCGTCGACCCCTTGTCTAGAACCGACGCAGGATAATCGGCAGCAGTCTAGACAATTTCGCGACGGTGTTCAGCTGTAGTCGGGCGGAATGACTGTCAGCACCATGCACGCTTGGTTGGATGCAGCCGCCTCAGCACACGAAGCGCTCTTCTTGACATCTGCCGAACGCTCCTCATTGTCGCAGCCCCCCCCGCAGCCCGTTTTCACTGTGGCCACCGATCTGAGGAGCTGTTCGCGTACTTTTCTGAATCCTTGACTTCGTTGTGAATACAATGACCATCCATGTTGTGACGTTGGCGAGTGACTTGGCTCGATGGTCTTGTGCTAGTTGGTCGTTAGGGTGCTAAAGACCAGATTATCCTATACAAAGCAAAACGATCTCCATGAGGTCCTTGAGCATCTCTGCTAGACCGTCGAATGCTCACTACCATCGGCCGCCTGAAAGATCGCCATAGTCAAGCCATTCTTAGTGGCTAGAGTGGCAACTGCATGAACGCCAACTTGTTACTCCAGCTCCGCCATATTGGTTGGCGTAGTCGTTGAGTAAGCAGCGACAGGCAGTGGGATTTAGTGTCAGATCATCGCGTGTGGCTGACTCAATGGGCTGAGACTATTTTGCTCTTGACGTAGATGTGGCATGCAAATGGGCCTCGAAGCATATAACGCCGGGCCGTGCTATCAAACGAGATGATTGTGACAACTACCGCATTGAGGAGTGTGCAAGATGCTGGACGTTTGTCCTCTGTAAAGGCGTCCGTGTCGAATCACCTCATTGTGCTCATTCAGTTCGGCCTTGGATTCGTTCGCTTGCTCCTCTGTGAAATACGTGCGATCGTTCTTTCCTGCCAGAATCTGGTACATTGACAGATGCGTCGGACGTTTGTTCGGGTGTATACAACCATGCAGTTCGCCCAAATGGGATATGTTCTGCTTGTCAAGGCTGCTTAGTCACCGGTATCGGTCCTATTAAATAATGTCATACTTTACCTCCTGTCCGGTCGGCGGCACGCTACTAACTACCGGGCCCCGCAACTGATCGTGCATGAACATGCAACGTGGTAGTGTGTGCATGAGGCAGATATTACAGACGGTAGCCAACTTGGATTCGTTGACAAGAGTTGTTCAAAGAAGAGTAGTATCAATCCCATGATCCCGGGGGTGGCCCGGGAGCATGAAAGTTGTCTTTCAGGCAGCACGAGCCCTACAGTATGGAGGATATACGAATCTGTGTCGATCAGTTCGAACACTTTCGGAATCCGTGTTTTGGGAGAGCCCCTATATCACATATTGGGTGAACCGTGTGGTGCTGTGCCCTCTACACTCCGACCTTGCCCCGTTTACGTGTGCCGTGCCGTCTTTGCCAAATCGACCATCGTTGCGGCGGGTTGTGAGCTTCGCTGAGTCAATCAAACCCACCGTCAGAATGCACGCGCACATTTTACTGTCGTTCGTTGTTTCGCGGGTGGCTAAGGAAGGTGATAGACTTCGTCCATTGACCGTAGTTGACGAGCACGGCTCGATGCAGCATTTTCATACAATATCGTAGGTTGATACGCTCTCTCCGCTGATTCGGAGAATAGTCTTCTTTGTTGCCTTAGTTGTCTATCTTGTCACCTTGACGAAGCAAATCGATTCGAGAGCAAATCCATTCACTTCTAACTTTTGCATCTCCATGGAACTTTGCAGACGGAGTCGCTCTTCTCGATATTGTAGTAAACAATGCAGGTATGTGTGTCTTGTCTGCCTGCGACCGCGCCTTCTACAATTCCGACGATCACTGCCCATTAGTCTGTCAAAGGTGCGCTTGATACTCGGTCGTAAAGGTTTCTGCCACTGCACAAAGCTATGTGGATGACCATTGAAAACAGACCGGTCAAGTCTGAACGGTTCGCACGACATCTCGTCTTGGGTTGCGGTCTTTCGAGATACTTGGCTGCGGTGAACGAAAACCAATATTTTCAGCTGTCTCGGACGTGGGACCTTACCCTCTGCTCTGTCGTCCGCTCCTTGACCTGACCTTCAGCTGATGAAGCAAAACTACGCCAGTGCTATGTTTGCTTTCCTAGAAGAGATAGGTGGACGGCATCGTCACGCTAGCGGTCAGCGTGCTGTAAGACAGTTGCATCTGTTGACCTCCGCCTGATCAACTGTTATATCGTAGACTGTAGATTGGAGAGTGTTTCGAAAACGCATTGACGTGAGCTCAATTCCATGTATGATTCTGCTATCAACGGATTGTGCGTACATGTTCGCGTCTCGAGCGAAGCGGTGGCGGCTGATTAGTTTATGCAAGAATTTACAACTGTCTGGCTGGTAGAACGGATGAGACCCTGCCCTTGGGCCAAGGCCAATGGGACAATGTAAGTGTGAGTCTATGTGACGTACGCGCGACGCCGCAAAAGCAAGCGGTACATTCTCGTTGAGTCGCGGACACATCAGTGCACGTTTGCGGCGTAGACTGCGCAAGACCGCTTAAGCTCGCTTCTCGCGGTCTCACCTCTTCAGTGCAGCCTCTTTGACTTTTCGCGGTGGGTTGATACATAGACGGAAGGACCGAAGTACTGTCCATGTATGCGTGGATAATCACATCGCACGAGCGAACCAGAGCATTGACACACATCGATGGTTTGCCACCACTTGTCCAAGCAGCTACCGTGTGTTTGTGTCGTCAGCGACAAGTACCCTTTCCTGTCACTCCGCGCCCGTTGGACACCTCTCTCTATTAATCACGTACGTGCAAGCCGGACAATAAACCAAGAATCTGGCGTATAAGCTTCATTGATTGTGGCCATGATGAGCTAGCAAAAAGACTTCATACGTACGGAGCAACAGGACATGTACTTGTTGTCGACGATTTCAACCGTCGACCATCGAACTAGGTGGGCACCTCGCCGTCGTGTTTATGGCATCGTCTTTGATTCTGAGTGGTCGACACGTTTTGTCTCACAAGCAGCTGTTTTTGACCCAGCGATAAGAAGTCGACGAAAGAACCTTCGCGATTGCTTCTTCCAACTGGATTTGGGGAGCTGGTGGGGGGTTTCTAAGCTCTTATGTTTACTTTTGCGGTTGCTTCCTCGCGTGAGCTCTTACCTCATCGCTCATGGGCTTTCCATAATCGATAGCCCTATCCAAATTCAAGGCCGTCTTCGTGACCAGTCATTGTAGATCGTAGCCGGATCAGTCATCGCTACAAATGTCGAACACACGCAAGGGACTATGAGTGGTCGATAAACTACGGCTGTGACGGAGCAAGGGCTATGTAATACGTGTTTCAGCATCGCTGACTGGTTTCGAGAATCGAATAGGTCGTATCGTGTGTTGGAAAGACTCGACAGCCTGAGTTTACGCTTACCTCCATCACCTTGTGTGTAGCCGGTAGTCGATCCATTCTACAATGGGGCGATGCAATTATTGGCTTTGGTTATGCTTCAGGTAGTTTACACCAAAGAACAGTAGTGTCGTTCCTGTGCGTTCTCTCAACACGACTTCACGAAAGCAAAAAATGCATTGTTTGCTTGACAAATGTCACAGAGGCTCGCTCATCCATTCCACGACTGACTTTAATATTGGCAAAACTCTGATCGTGCGAGGGGAATTGGCACTCTACAAGGACGTAACTTCCAATGTAAACCTGCAGTTTGGCAAGACGCCTTCTTCATAGCAGATGCGTGTCGCGAACGCATCCTTCAGCAAAGCCGTAGCAAAGCGGTCGTCACTGATCATACAGACGAGTCGTTCTCGCAAAAAGAGGACAGGATGCTGCTTTCTTTGTTACCCACCAACTTACTGCAACTCGACGCATGTGATTGTGATGGGCTATCTGCTGATCGTCGCCAGCTCATTCGACCGGTCCGCACAATGTCCACCGTGCAAGAAAGCGACGGTCGCTTTGGTCACGCTTCGGGTCGGTCGTAGCGTCAGATCGATCACTGCTGACTAGTACATTCGACCACTTTCCAATTCGCCTTCACTAGCGCAAGTAACTCGTGATGGGTGCTAAAGATCACAAAGGCGCAGGCGTCATATCCATCGAATACGATGATGCCAAGACACTGCTCGCTCAAGGATCATCGGCACTCCATGAGCACGTGGCTTCCCGATTGAAGGCGTCCCGTGGCAAAGCACTTCCCCAGATTGAGGTGCGCTTCAAAGACGTGTCCGTTTCCGCAGATATCGCGGTCCAAGACGCGACAAACACGGAGACGCAGCTACCAACGCTGTCGAGCGAGTTGAGGAAGACCGTCAACGGCTTGGTCGCCAAGAAGCACACGGCAACGAAGTGCATTTTGAAGGGGGTTACCGGAGTCTTCAAGCCAGGTACCATGACCCTCGTGCTCGGTCAGCCTGAATCGGGCAAGTCGTCCTTGATGAAGCTGCTGAGCAGCCGGTTTCCGCTCGACAAGGACATCAGGATCGAGGGCGACATCACATACAACGGCACACCTGCAAAAGAGCTGCGCCGCCTGTTGCCACAGCTCGTGTCGTACGTCCCGCAACGTGACAAACACTACCCTGAGCTGACAGTGAAGGAGACACTCGAGTTTGCACACGCTGCGTGTGGCGGCAAGTTGTCCGAACGCGACGCGAGTCAGTTAGTAAACGGCACTGCTGCGGAGAATGCAGAGGCTTTGGAAGCTGCTCGGGCGATGGCAAAGCATTACCCGAACGTCGTAATCCAGCAACTTGGTTTGGAAAATTGCCAGCACACCATCGTCGGTGACGCGATGATTCGAGGTGTGTCGGGAGGTGAGCGCAAGCGCGTGACAACGGGTGAGATGGCGTTTGGAAACAAGCACGTGATGATGATGGACGAGATCAGCACGGGTCTAGACAGTGCCGCGACGTTCGACATCATCACGATGTACCGCAGCCTCACGAAAAGTTTCTGCAAGACAATGGTGATCTCGCTTCAGCAGCCATCGCCCGAAGTGTTTGCGCTGTTCGACAATGTGATGCTATTGAATGCAGGACACCTCATTTATCATGGGCCATGTACGGAGGTTCAGGACTACTTCAACAGTCTCGGTTTCAGGTGTCCTCCCACTCGTGATATCGCGGACTTTTTGCTGGACCTTGGCACGAGTGAACAGTACCAATACGAGGCAAAGCTCGATCGAGAACGTGCACCGATCCGCGCCCCGAGTGAGTTCGCTCGAGCGTTCGAGCAGTCATCAATATATGCGCAGACTCTTCAAGAGGTGGACGAGCCTGTACGTACGAATCTCGTCGAAGACATGGAAGACGCCATCGAGAATCAACCAGAGTTCTCTCAAAGCTTCTGGGAGAGTACGTCGCTGCTTGTAAACCGACAGCTCATCAACACGCGACGAAATACTTCATCCCTCTTTGGACGTCTGCTCGTGAACACCATGATCGCCCTGTTGTGCTCGATTGTCTACTTCCAATCCGACCTAGCTGATGTACAAGTGGCAATGGGTATCATGTTTGAGTCGGTGCTGAATTTGTCTGTCGGTCAGACTGCACAAGTTCCAACATATATGGCAGCAAGAGAAGTGTTTTACAAACAACGACGAGCCAACTTTTACCGGACTGCATCGTACGTAGTTGCCCATGCTGTGGATCAGGCGTTTCCCGTTGTCCTCGAGACGGTCATCTATGGAACAATCATCTACTGGATATGTGGTTTCGTGAGCAGTTTCGATGGCTTCTTGGTATATCTGGTGGTGCTGTGCTTGACGAACCTCGCACTCGCTGCTTTCTTCTTCTTCTTGGCGTCTGCGTCACCGAATCTCAACATAGCAGGCCCCTTGTCCAGTGTAGCGGTGGTATACGTGTGTGTGTTTGCGGGCTACACGATCACGAAAGACCATATTCCGAGCTACCTCATCTGGCTGTACTGGCTAAACCCCCTTGCGTGGGGAATACGCGCGCTGGCAGGCAGTCGATACAACGACTCCCGCTTTGACACGTGCGTGTACGATGGCATCGACTACTGTGCAGACTACGGGACGAAGATGGGGAAGTTCTTGTTGAGTAATTACGAAGTTCCGTCGGGAGCGTTCTGGTTGTGGGGCGGAATGGCCTTTATGATCGGTACCTACGCTTTCTTCTTGGTCCTGTCTTGTTTCGCACTTGAGTACCATCGCTTCGAGCGGCCTGAGGTTGCTGTGCTGGCCACTGATACGAAACCAAAGACTACGGACAACTACGTTGCTATTGACACACCACGCGGGTCCAATCGATGCAACGAGTTGACGGTTTCGGTGAGCCACGTAAGGGACAACTACTTTGTCCCGGTTACCGTGGCGTTCAAAGACCTGTGGTACAGCGTTCCGGATCCGACGGATTCCAAGAAGACCCTCGACTTGCTCAAAGGCATCAGCGGATATGCCTTACCTGGCACCATCACAGCACTTATGGGGTCTTCGGGGGCTGGCAAGACGACACTCATGAACGTGATCGCTGGACGTATGACTGGTGGCAAGATCCGCGGACAGGTATTTGTGAATGGGCATCCTGCTTCGGATCTGACAATCCGTCGCTGTACGGGCTTCTGTGAGCAAATGGATATCCACGCGGAGTCCGCAACATTCCGCGAGGCGCTGACATTCGGTGCGTTTCTGCGCCAGAGTGCCGACGTCCCCGACGATCGCAAGTACGACTCGGTGACTGAGTGTCTCAGCCTTTTGGATCTCAATTCGATTGCAGACAAAATCATACGCGGCAGCTCTGTGGAGCAGATGAAGCGACTTACGATCGGCGTGGAGTTGGCAGCACAGCCAAGTGTGCTGTTCCTGGACGAGCCTACAAGTGGTTTGGATGCTCGCTCGGCAAAGCTGATCATGGACGGTGTGCGCAAAGTCGCCGATACTGGGCGGACTGTTGTGTGTACAATTCATCAGCCGTCGGCAGAGGTCTTCGGTCTTTTCGACAGTTTGCTACTACTGAAACGTGGTGGCAAGACTGTCTTTGCGGGTGACTTGGGCGAGAACGCTCATGAAATGGTCGCGTACTTCGAGTCGATCGATGGCGTAGCGAAGTCGGAGGAAGAGTCGAATCCGGCGTCATGGATGCTTGAAGTGATCGGTGCTGGTGTCGGCAACAACAATGGGAGCAAGACTGACTTTGCGGGGAGCTTCCGAGCCAGTCGGCACTACGAGCTTCTGCAGTCAACTTTGGAATCCGAAGGTATCTGTCGTCCATCCGCGTCTGTGCCTGTGCTCCACTTCGAGACGAAGCGCGCTGCGTCCAACCTTACGCAGCTGAAGTTCCTGTTCCAGCGCTTCAGCAACCTCTACTGGCGCACGCCTTCATTCAATTTGACACGATTTGCTGTATCACTGGTGCTGGGTCTAGGCTACGGGATCACATACGCTGGAAGTGAGTACAAATCGTACTCCAGCGTGAACTCTGGACTCGGAATGATGTACTTGGTTGTCCTTTTCATTGGGTCCACCTCCTTCAACAGTGTGATTCCAATAGCGGCGGAAGAGCGTGCCGCCTATTACCGTGAGAGAGCGTCGCAAACGTACAGTACGTTTTGGTACTTTGTCGGCCTGGGTGTAACGGAGATCCCGTATGCCGCCGCCTCTGTGCTGCTGTTCTTGGCCCCGCTTTTTCCCATGGTAGGGTTTTCTGGACTCGGCCTCTTCTTTACCTGTTGGCTCGTTTTGCTGCTGCAAGTGCTGTACCAAGTTTTCACGGCCGTCGTGCTCGCTTTCTTGCTGCCAAACTTGGAAAGCGCAGAGATTACTGGCGTGCTCGTGAACAAGGTGGTTTACTTGTTTTCGGGCTTTAGCCCTCCCGCTTCCCGTTTGCCGTCAGCGGCTGTGTGGGTGTACCGTATCACACCGATGCGGTTCAGTGTTACAGCCTTCACAAGCGCCGTGTTTGGTGCGTGCAGTGGTGAGGGCGATCTCGGATGCACGCAAATGACCGACACACCCCCATCAATAGCTGCGAATCTCACCGTCGAAGGATACTTGGAAACCAACTTCTTGATCAAACACAGCGAAGTGTGGCAAAGCATCGGCGGGTTGACACTTTCCGTGCTTGTCATTGGACTGCTGGCGCTTGTAGCGATGCGCTTCTGTAACTACCAGAAGAAGTAGAGTCTAGACAATCAAATACTACAACTACAGTAGCTTCGGATCACATGGACGTTCTTGGTTCTCTTACGTTCTAGGTCCTCTCACAAGTGCCTACAATTTCTGCTTGTGATACAGTGTGGAGATGATGCATACCACTCAGACACTCTCTGCGTCTGTCTGAAACAAACATGTTTCACGGCTCAGTCTCATAGAGCAGACGCTGACATTCTCGGATCGATCAGTCAGTGGTATATGAGAAATACACGTGCGCAGGACAACGCACGCCTTATCTCACTACTACTGTCTACCGTCATGGATATGGAACGACGCAGGCACTGTATGATCGGTCGATGGGTCGCTTCAGCTAAAGTGTCGGGATGTTCACGTTGGGCGACATGTCATTGTCAAAGAGCCCAAAGTGCTTCTCGTGCTGCGCCCCCGTGTAGCTCACCGTCGTGTCGTACATCATGAACCAGTACGACCGGCCCTTGTCGCGCGACCACGCGACGTAGTCGTTCAGGTACTGCTGCGTGCCTTCGCGCGACGGCTGATTGCCGGCGTAGCTCTCGCCCGCGTACGGCCAGCCCGTCTCGGTCAGGTGCAGTTTGTCCGGACCAAACTTGCCCGTCATCTGGTCCCATTGCGCCTGCAGCTTCTGTACCGACGGCTGCCTGCCGGGCGTGAAGAACGGGTAGATGGTGACGCCGATGTTGTCCACTGCGTTCGCGAGTTTCGACGCACCGTCGGCGCTCAGCCACTCGTTGATGCGCTGCACGGATCCAACAGGCGCGTTGCCCACACACTGCTTGACGCGGTTGATAAAGCCCACGAGCTCGTCCGCCGAGTACTTGCCAAAACCGTTGTTCCGGAGGTTCTCGTTGCCAACGTAGACGGCCTCGACCGCCCAGGGGTTCCGGGCATAGCCGTCGCACACTGCCTGAATCTCGCCATCGATCAACGCGGGATTGCTGAGCTGCACGCCAACCGCGACACGGATACCGGCCGCAGCCGCCATGTCGACCACGTTCACCCCGTTCATTCGTGCCTCGTACGTGCGGACGCTCGAGAAGTACTGGGCCACGTGCCGCATGTCCTTCTGCAGCACGTCCCAATTGACGGTCGAGTGGGCCCATGGCGAGTAGCAGACACCCAACTCGAGTCGTTTGGCGTCGACCGACGTGACGGCCACAGCGCTTGCGACGACAAAAGTGGTGGCGAGCGTCTTCATTGCTGATGGTGGTGGTGGTGGCGCTTTTTTCGTCACTCCTGAGAGGCTCAAGAGGTGTTTAGTTGTCCGGACGGCCTTGCGCTGGACGCGGATGGTTGAGGAATAGGTACAATGTCGCGCGTGGCATTTCGCACGAGAGGAAAGCGTCTGAACGCGATGGCTTGACGTCACGTGCGACTGACATGTTGCAACCACCAGTTGTGGCGTTGAGACGTGTCACGGAGGATGCAGGCGCCTCCTTTGAGATTTGCGCTCAGTGTGTGCGAGACTCGCTACCGCCGATGGGCAACGAACGCTACGGGACGAAAGCTGAAGCTCGAGCGTCTGTTTGGTACGTTCGCGGCGCCGACTCTCTCTTCGGTGCATTTTCACGTACAGACCACGTCCGTCCGTCTGTTCGTCCGTCTGTTCGTCCGTCCGTCCGTCCGTTCGCCTACCCCATTACACCACCTAACGCTGTCTTATGCGATGTGGCCCTACCTCAATACACTGAAGGACAGCGAGCACATCCTATCGGTGAGGTCGATTTCGTGCATAGTAGCGAAGTCGATCGCTGCTTCGTCGACGACTGCGTCGCAGCACGTCACTTTCGTGTCACGCGAGTGGGCGCTATGCTCCGCCACGTGCGTCAAAAATCAACCAAACGTCCGGTTGTCCGCGGTCGGTAGAATCCACTCGCTCGCTTCTGTTTTGCGGTCTTTCGAGTCGGAAACTGCAGTCGGAAGCGACGAGCTGGGGTCGATCGAGTGGTCGGGAGCCAGCGCACGACCCTGTCGCAATGACGAAAGCAGACCCTCGTCAGGATTTGCCGTGGCTGGGATCATGTCCCAGACCATTGACGTGCTCGTTCATAGTCGTGCTCGTCGATCGCATCGGGACATCCGCCTTGACATTGGACTGGAAGTCTCCGACTCTGGTGCGGTTGCTCTACACACCACTAGTTTCGAATTCGTGCGACTGCGCTGCTGATCATTTTGGTCTCTGTTTCCACGTGCTAGCGGACGGGAAGTGCCATTGTATGGAGCAGTACTTGCCGTCATACGTGTAATAATGTCTTGGCGACCAGATTGATGTATACTCTTAGGAGCTGCCGACAGCAGATAGGACGTAACCTAGCACACACATTGCAGGTGAATATCTTTTTGCGTAATGCATTGGCTACGTATACAAAGCGAGGAGCTTTGCATAAATGGAGAACACATGCGATTGTGTGGTTTGGTGATACTTAAGCAAAAAACAGAGTAAGCTACATGCGCACCTGGCAGCGTGGTCACCTGCGCATCGACTATCCGAACCATCCTTATACGCGGTATATTTTCGCTTTCGGTAAAGAATAAAAAAATGATCCATTAAGTACATACGAATTGCCCTTCTTTTGACTTTGTGACGATCTAACTGAATTTCCACCCAATTAATTGCGTAAGTAAAATACACAACAGGATGAGAAGAAACAATAGCTGAACGAATGTAAGTATTGCTTTACCAGATGACGCCATACGACAATTGCACCAGGGACTAGTGAACCATTGGACATGATGATTGCATCACGCTATGACAGGATAAAACATACTACGAACTGAAGCTACATGCCGCACCCACTATAAAAAAGGCGGTACTAGATTAAACAGAGACCAAGAATGTGTACTTCATATGCAAACGTCTGACGAACAGACACAGCGTGGGATTGCAAGAAAGTTTTGCAGTATTTGCATTATCATGCAAAACGTCGCAGCCATTTTTATGCAGAGCTTTCTCGATCGACTGATGGGGTCCGACCGATCGTTATACCCGTTGTTCTCTTCATTTTTACCGTGAGATCGTTCACAACAAGTGAAACCGCCTTGATTATCCTTCGATGAAGAGGCCGTACATGTCCTTTGTCCACACGCATTCACCGATTGTATCAAGAATGCAGCATGAGACGTGTCGGATATTGTGCAGCAAGTTTATGTGGAACGAGGGACCGAGACCTCTACGCTTGTGTGCACTATATCCTCAATTGCAAAAGTCAATACTGCATCCATCTATATAGCTTCCATGTGACATTGTTTAGACAACTACCACCATCACAACCACCGTCACAACTACCATCAGAGCGCCCATCACAATCACCATCAGAACATCCATCACAACCTCCAAGAACAGCAACGTAGTTTTGTACAACACAACGCTCCATCAGACTTGCGCGCTTTGCCAGTGTGCGATCCATTTAATGTGTCCGCAGGTATCTGCAAAAGTATGGACATGACCACTTGCGATCGCATCGTGCACATCGAGTAATCGATCTGGTCTACTATCTGCTCATGTTGCCTCAGTTTTCGCATCGTCTTGGATCGCCCCGAGTTGCTCCATAAAATCCTCCTAGAGTTGCAAAGCTGCACATTGGCACCGCGCTGTATGGTCCCATCGAAATTCAACGACACCGCCAAAACGACAACCACACATTTTTTCAGTGTCGATTCAATTGAATTCGAATGCGAGAGACAGGCGCATGGTGGATTGCACAGCAATGGTAGACGCCATTGTCGGGCTACGCTGGATCGTCAGCGCATCACTTCCCTTTCGCAGAATGGATGTTGTGGCAAGACGCATCAAAAGATTTCAAATTGAGAAGTAAAATAGGAAAAGATACGCGGACACGTACAAATGGACTGGTGTATGCGTATATGTTGGTACCGAAGACGGTGGATCCGCCTCCAACCATTATTTGAAAGATACTATTTTTACTTCGGATCAAATTAGCCAGGATTGTATGTATGGACTCTTGATCAGGTTAATTATAGAGAGGATACATAGCAGATATACGTGGATGTGTAGGAAGAATCGTAGGCATGTATAAATTCGGTAGTATAGTCACATCCGTCATATGTATACTACTTCTTGATTGATTGGAGGTTTTTTCTATACCTTAGGGTGTGCAGTTTTTTCTTGATTCATTTATTCGGTGTATAAGTTTGACTGACTGACGTCTCAAATTATATTTTTATATAGACGCATTATGATTGAATATTGCTGTTATTGAGCTCTCTTATTTCTCACTTATATATATGTATATATATAGTAAATGGTGTTATTGTCATGTTGCTCTCATATGGCTAAGTTTTCAAAGCTTATCTTTTGCATGTTTTTTTATATTAAATAATGTGTATATGTTTCTGGATCTGGATCTTCGCCGAATCTTGTTTGCATAATTGATTATATTGATATTAAATCGCCACGTCGGGAAAACATAAAAAATCATTATATAGCACAGAAATGCCTCACGACATGGAAGAAAGAGAGATAAAAACGAGAGCTTCATTGCAGAGAAAATTAAAATTGCACTGATTTCGGAGTAGAAATCGATGAAGAATGCATCCTCTCCATACGAGATACGCAGCACACTTGATGATCGGTGAAATGAATTTGATTATTATACATTGGTGTCTAATATTTGATGCCAAGTTCTGGCAATGCCTCATTGTGATAATGGACACATTTGATTGTTTCATCGATAGATCAAGGAGAAGAATTCGGTCCTACGCGGGAAGCGCGGCTAATCCGCGATGCTTCGACTGCTCATAAGCGTTGCGCCTGTGAATGTGTAAATCGGTGATGCATTTTTACTGATTTATTAGCACGTATACTCGGTTGATATATAGTTGTAGTATCTGGTGCATCATTTATTGCACGATGCGACAAAACGTGTTGCTTTTCGTGATTTTCGGGGCATCTCTTAATGACCTACATAAAAAAGCACCATTGATGTATACCGTATACATGAAAATATGTTATATAGATCACAAAAACAAATGTCGACAGATTTGATCACATACACAAAAGGTGTCCTTCATAATTACATTGAAGTGGCATTTACAGAAATTCGTAAATACTGGATGAGCCTTTTGTATCCATTAATCGTTTATTACCATACAAGTTGTTGACACGAGAGCACCTTTGCCGCATGATACATAAAATTTACGATACGAGCACCTTCGTCCAACGTCCTCAGAGCTAGATTTTTCTCTGTTAAGAATGTAACTAAACCAAGTCCTGGTATATAGTGCGACGTGCTCCAAGTGGACCAACATGGCCGAGCTGCTACGCTTGTGTGCATTATGTTTTGCACTATAGTATAGCTTGAGGTGTGATGACAGCCAAAGTTAGTGGTAAGCTGTCGGAGCTAGAAGGTACAATAGAAGTGAATTTATGTTAGTTAAAGGTGATTGGTTCAACGGGGATACCTTTAAGCCTTTTAATGTCTATACTACGATATCTCTATCCACAACGAGGCCAATTTATGGGGTGTGTGCATTGCTTGCAAAATACGCACCGGTATGATCGACGGTCTATGTAGTAACGACAGAATGGATAGGAGGATCGTAAAAAGGACGCCATGTGGAGTACGTTGTGCATCTTCACATCCTTTATCATTTTAGCGATATTGTACGCATTGCGTCTTTTCTTAAGGTCAATATTATGTAAAAATTTGAATCGGAGGAGATGGATACGCATACCCCCGAAATAAAAAAACTACGGTATGCTAGGTCAACTTTGAGGATGCAGGTTGGTCCACTAGCCGACAAGAGGTGGTTCGGCTTTTGTGAATTGGAACGCTGATTGTAACAAACTTTCGAAAGCTGAACACCGTTTACAATGCCTTCAGTGTGGCAATTTGGCCATCCCCTGGCACAGTGAATTTTTACGTGCTATCAGCTAAAAGGGCAGGGGGATTGTTGTCACGAAGGACGAAATCAAGGATTCGTCGACATATCTACACCTTTTTTGTATCGTGGAAATTAAAGCAATGGAGGCAAGAACGCTTCAAATTAATAAAGAGCTATAGGTAGCGGCTCAGGCGGTCGTCACTCTCGACGGAATCAGTATCAGTCTACCACATACCCCGGCTATTTCCTAACGAAAGCAATTAGTAGAGCAGCGCACAACGAACAAGGCGCAAAATTTTCCCTATCTAACCGCAACCGAAGCCACCGACCAAGCAACCTTGGTTGACCTAATTA